AGAGAGGATGGTTTTCACATTCTTAAATGGTTAAAAAATATCAAAAGGGGACTAGTGCTTCATGACATGTGAAACGTACATGAAATTTTGTGTACACAAATGACATTTTATTGTCACCCAGCCATGTCCATTCATTAATGTATTTCCATGGCTGCTTTTGTACTACAAGGGATGAGTGGTTACAACAGAGATTGTGTGATAACCTGCCTCCCCCCACCCTCTGCAGGCCCCAAATAATTACTATTTGGCCTTTTACAGGAAAAAAAAGTGTCAGCCCCAGGCTTAGAACAATACCTCTCCTTAACTTCTTCTAAAGCCATATATATTAATATTTAACCCTCACAAGTTTCTTTTTAAAAAGAAAGTCTTAAGTCTATATATAACTCTAAGAACAATCACCAGATTATATCCTAGCACTGAGAGAAGCATAGTAAGAAGCAGAACACCTTGGATGAGAACAGAGACTCAGGAGCCACACTCCCTGGACTCAGATTTCGGCTCCACTACTTAGCAGCTGTGCAATTATTGACAAAATGCTTAACTTCTCTGTGCACAAGTCTTCCCATCTACAGAATGAAGCTTATGATGGTACCCATCACGTAGAACTATTATGAGCCTTAAATGAGTTAATGTATAAAATACTTATAATATTACCTGGTATGAAGTATAGCTGTTCTAAATAAAGTAACATTTTTTAGTACATTTTTATGTCAGGAAAATTGAGATACTTAGAAATTACCTAAGATAATAAGTAAACCTCCACATGTTCCTAAATATGGGGAAAATACAAGCAAAATTAAAATGTGAACATGTCCACTTTTGTCAGTATGTCCTCCTTGCCAACACAATGCATTAATATCTACTCTAATTGCCTTTTGATTGTAGGATATAACTATTTGTCTCCTGTACCTGTGGTATAGGAGATAATTTTGTAATCAATGGTCCTGTTTCATATAGTAAACAAATTGTATTCTGAATGGTTGAGTAAGTTCTGAAAGAAAATCTAACTACCTAACAACTTCTAATGTGAGGGTATCAAATTGGTATAAAGTGAAGTAACAATTTAGAGAATACCTAGATACAAGATTAGTTTGTTTTGTTAAGGTTGTTATTCAGTTCTGAGAAAGAGAGCCAATAGAAAATATTGTATTACATTTAGAGCAACACTTTCTAAACACCCAAGACAGAAATAAAACTGTGTTAGAAAATCTAATGGCTTTTTAATAATTGCAGGTCCTTTTAGCAAATAGATAATTAGTACTCCTGATGTTTAAATAGATTTTTACATTAATTTATGTGAAATCTTTAAGTAGGCTATGTTTTGTAGAAAGTGAAATCTTTATAAGGTAGTCGTCTACCTTCTATAAAATATAATATCTTAAAAACTATATTCTAATACAGAACTCTACATGGGACTGTAACAGCTGGTTGTTAAATGTTTTAAAAATGTAATCATTCTCATGAATGCATTTCTACTACAGGTGTTTTCCTGGAGGAGGTTCAATGGATTTTTGTCATGTACAATAGTAACATAGATTGAGAATGATATTGGTGAAGTGCAGTGCTGAGGCTTTTTCATTTTATAATCTTAACTCCTTCAGCTTTCAATAAGCATTTATTTAACTGGTACACTGTGTGAGATGTGATGGAAATATAAAAGAAAATGTAATTATTCCAGTCCAATTTGATTTATTTGGGACAATTACTAAATTATGAATTAAAATTAGAAAAATACAAATTGAAAAGAAACTTTGGGTTATTTAAGATAAACTTAGACTATCACGTCTTCTGATGTTTACGTTTTAATGTTCTAAATATTACATGTCACGTCCCTTTATTAAATTAAATTTTCATGCTTTAGAAATTCTTAATGACTTTTCCAAAACTTTTTCAAGAACTTATTTCTTAAGTTTCACATTTCTTGCAATAAAACAAAACAATAATAACAAAGAAACAATACTTCAAAATATTTTACTTTTTGTCTACTTATGTCTTGTTGCTTTAAATTAGTTATGTATATATTTGAATATATGAAAATAAGTCTCTTATTTTAAATTTATTATCATTAATGCTTAGTCTGCTAAAATAAAATATGAATCTGAGCATAAATGACATACTTAGAAAACAATGAAGCCACTAGAGCAAAAATTAAAAATTAATTTGGGTATTTATAAAGTCTTTATCAATTGTGTTGCTTTTTCTTTTTGGACTTAATAAAAATTGAACATTATTTAATAATACTTATAAACATGGTTAAATTTTGTTACATTAATAGGCCCACTTCCTATAGATAACATATTCTTAACAAGTAAATTTTCTTTGAAGTTATTCTGTTGTTTATATGTTGTTCTTATTTCAACTGACTGTTCAATTTTAATTTTCCAACCCCTCTTCTGAATTTGAGGAACTTTTTTATATTTAGACTTTAAGAACTACAGGTGGACAAAAAGTAATAAATGTAATGAATGCCTTTCCATTCAACTGTCTTCAGTAAAAGTGATGCAATTGCAAAAACAATTGTTTAACACATTTATCTCTCTGTTGAATCACATGTAAGGCTGGAAGAACATTTCTACATTATGCTGATACTATAATAATAGTCTGATATAAAGCTATTGATTGCTACATTAAAGTTAAGAACTTGATGATCATTCTTGCATTCTTTCTGTGAATTAACATTAGAATAATGTCATTAGTACGTACAAATTAAATTACTATAGTTATCAATACCGTAACAAAACCTAAATTATGTTAATTTGAGATCAACAATGAACTATTTTCTGAGTCTTCTGCTTTTAAAGGAAAATACAGTTTCCTCCTACACAGAGGTATCAGATTCTTGCAGCATCCATGACACTTGTACGCATTCAGTGGTTAGACACCAGTACCTATCCTTTAAATGACACGGCCCAGTGAAGCTGGAAGGCGTCATCACAGGGCCGGGCAGCCTGGCATCTCAGCCTTCCACCAGGACAGAGCCAGCAGGCCCCAGCTGGTGTGCTGAATCCAGACTAAGGTGGAAATAGATTTTCCATTTTGAAAGTCAACTCTTCTAACATTGAACCCTAAGACATACCTATTTGATACAAGTACACGGAGTGCTTCAGAAATTATTTATTGGATCAAATTTATAATGCTCATTTCCAAATATTACTCTTAAAACAAGTTAAATCTTAATTTTATCATCCTTCGGGGTTTTTGAATTTATACTAGATAATACATATTTTTAAAAATAGGAATAAATGTATGTCCAGGACTACAACTATGTTGTCTGAATCCTCAGTATGTATTTCCTGTGCTAACTGAAGCATACTTGTAGGTCATTTAGAAGTTATAAAGGCTAAATAACAGAATATTAATCATCAATGCCCATTGTGTGGTGACATCTGCCCATCACACTAAGCTTACCATTTTGATGGTAAGCTTTTGATGGTAAGCTCTAGATAAATGAAAAATCCTTATAAAATAAATACACATTCCACATTCTTGTTCTCACTTGGACTCTGTGTTCACTATTCAAGCCCACAGGGGTTCTTGCTTGTGCTATTGTCTTACCATCATCTTTTGGCACCACAAATTATTAACTCAGCTCTTGCAAATATTAGCAAAAATCAACTTACAAGGTTCCTAAGTTAGAGGTTTCTCATGCCTCCTGTGGGCCTCACCTGAACACCAGTGCTGCCTAGGCAGCTATAGAGAATATCTTCCATTTCTTGAAAGTTTAGTCATCTGGGACTGGTGGAAACATCACGACGGGAAAAATAAACATTTAGTTCCACAAGGCTGCACAGGGTGGACCCAATCGTTTTGGCATCCTTCTGAGTGGGAAAATGCCATCATGGAATTTTAAACCATGTAACTTCTCACGAAACACTTCAGTGGATTAGCCTGAGGTAGCCTGTCTGGCCTCTGCAATCGTAATATCTTATCATGAGAAACTGAAAATATACTGCTTCTTTTTTCTAAAAAGAGAAAGCAACCTTATTCTTGGGCTCCTTGAAAAGGGTTTTAAAATTGGAGCCAGTAAAACACAATGGTTAAATCCTATAGTCTTTTTCTTGTTTAAAAATCTCAGCAGCATTTTTAAATGCATCCTTTCTCCTTCCCCTTTGACCTGAAATCCTATTTGCAATGCACACAAGAGAATGTTTCCAAATAACAACAACAACCACAATAACAACTCCCCAACTTCTTTGTGACTTCTGAGCAGGCGCACAGAACTAAGAAGCTAGATGGCCCCCCTCCCCCTAATTTTCAACTTGCTCCCTTTGAGATGGGAGCCAGCAGGCATGATTCACTCTGATACCCTGAAACCTCTGGCTTTGCTCTACTTTGAAAGTGAAAGGAAAGGCTTCCCATAAGACAGAAAAGTTTGCTGGGGTATGTGATGCCACAATTTCCAGTGGAGACCCTAATAGACAAAGCATTTTGGAACTCTACCTCCAAAGGGGACTAACCCCATGCACTAAACCATCCCTCCCCCCCCAAGAAAACAACTTGAACTCCTGACAGAATTAAAGCTTTCTTCTCTGAGCACACCAGGCACTTCTGCTGGCCTGAGGCACCCAAGGCAGGAAAAGAGGTGAAGGGGTGGGGGACTTCTCCAGGCAGAGTCCACTTCCTTAAGCAATCTCATTTTGATTTGGAGGGAGGACTGGACACAGAGGATTCCACAACTGCACTTCTAACTGCCCTGGCCTTTGGCCCCACTTGTCTGTCAATTTCTGTCCACAAGTCCCACATTTCCGGCTCTGAGGATATTGAGAATATGGGCTTTCTAGTGCTTAGGGATGCTATTATAGACCTGTTCTCTGTTGACCTTTCAGAGACTAAGACATCAACTTTCCCCCACACAGTCTGAATTGTTTGTTTACGTTTGTTTTCAGCCTGCCTAAACCGCCAGCCCAGGCTACCCATCTCCCTCCTCTTCCCTACCCCTTCCCCTCCCTCCGGCCTCTCCCTCCACCTCCACCCCAGCTCTCTTCTTTGTGGTCTCCTACCTGCTGGCCAGGCTCTGCCTGCAGTGCTGCCTGAAGGGCATCAGGTGGTAGTTCATGGCGTCCAGCAGCAGCTTCTGGCAGACGGGGTCCGTGCGCATGAAATCTACTGACTGGACCCGCTCCACCAGCTCCGGGGCAGGGATGAGTGCGAAGCGGAGGCGCTTCATGAGGTCGGGCGCGTACTGCATGCGGGTCTCGCGGTCGTGCTCCAGCCACAGCACGGACATCTGGAAAAGCGCCAGCTCCGACTCCACGGGGGGCGGCAGCGAGTCCAGCAGGGCGCGCATCTCCTCGAAGTTGAGCAGCAGCACATCTTCCACCAGGTACTTGTTGGCCAGCTTCTTGGTCTCCTCCAGGCCGTGCAGCGCTGCGATCTTGCACACCTGCTTGTAGTTCTGCACCGAGATCTGGTCGTTGAGGAACTGCACGCAGAGCTTGGTGACCTGGGGGATGTGCAAGATCTTGCTGACCGACAGCACCTCCTCCACCGTGTCCAGGGAGAGGGTCACGTTGGCCGTGTAGAGGTACTCGAGCACCAGGCGCAGCCCAATGGACGAGCAGCCCTGCAGCACCAGGTTGTTGATGGCCCGGGGGCTGGTCAGCAGCTTGTCGTCGGGGGAGGAGGAAGGAGTCCCGGGCTCCTCCTGTGGCGGCGGCTGCTGTTGCTGTGACGGCTGCTGCTGCGGCTGTGGCTGCTGGTCCTTGGGGGCCCCCAGGCCGTCCTGGCCGCCGACCCCTCCCCCGAGAGGGGGGTGGCTGGAGAAGAGAGATCGGAAGTACTGCGAGCAGGAGGCCAGCACGGCCTTGTGGCAGTGGAACTGCTGGCCCTGGGCCGTCAGGGTCACGTCGCAAAACAGCTGCTTCCTCCAAAGCAGGTTGAGGCCGTGCAGCAGGTTGTCGCTGTGGCTGGGGTCGAAGGTGGATGTCCTGTCCCCGGATCTGGACATGGCGAGCTGACTCGGCGCACCTGGCTTTAAACCCTCCTCCAGCCTGGCAGACAGGGGTGGGGGATGGGAGAGAGAGGAGCAGGGTAGTGGAGGGGGTGGGGTGTGGCCGGGGTGGGGAAGGGTGTGGAGGGGAGGGGAGGGCGAAGAACAACAATCAGTGCTCAGCTTGGCTCCAGCCCAGCGCGCCTCAGGACAGTGCGACCCTAGGGGGAAGGTCTGAAGGCGCCGGATCCGTGAGCGCTACCCGTAGGGCCCTGCCTGGGGTCCGGACGCTGGTTCTGCTCTCGGCTACTCCTCTCGCCACCGCCCACACACTTCGTCCCTCACTTTCCTAAAACCGCCCCGGCTCGGCTCTTGGCAGCGACAGCGGTGGCCGCAGCGACGGCAAAGTGGCGGCTGAGGCCGAGACGCCTCGTGGGCTTGTGTCCATGCCGGGCCGGATGGAGGGAGAGGCCGGGGAGTGGGGAGCCAGGGATGCCCCGAGAGTGCAGAGGCGACTGATGGAGGCGGTTCCAGGTCAACTTGCGCCCACCGCTTAGCGTTTCGCAGTTGGTCCAGCTTTGGGGGGTAGGAACGGGGGCCCGACAAGCGTGCGGGTGGGCGATTCTTAGCCCTCCAAAAGCTGGGAACCCTTTCGATTATCCGTGCTGCCCCGAGAAACTCCTGGGTTAATAGTCTGAGGGAGCAGATAAAGCCCTTTCTTCTCCCGAGAAAGTGCAGCGGAGCGCGGTGAGGACCAGCTCAGTGGACTCGGCAGAGGCGGGAGCTGTCCTTATCAATTCTAGCTCATTTCCCTCACCCCGGCCCTGCCTGCTTTTCTGCTTTGCAAACTGTTGGTCTCCCCATCACCACTCAGTTTTACTAATTTTCCAGAGACACCTTTAAACCTGACAGGAGGTTCCCTCCAGCCCCCAACCCCCGAGCCCCTCTCCCCCGCCCTCCGGCATTTCAAGGCGCAGAAGTTCAAACGGGTGTCTCCCCTTCCCTCGCAGGGCAGCACTGAGGAAGATGGGGAGCTGGAAGTGGGGTTACTGGGGCGCATTTAGAGCGAGAGGCAGGAAGGATTCAGGTAGACGGTCCTCCCTCCTGGGCACCTGGCGCAGTGGCTTTAACTCCAATAACTGTGAGAAGTTCAAAGTTAACACGCAGGTGTTGGGGGAGGGGGCTGTCTAATGGGGGGGCGGGGGACGCAGTTCCTTGAGGGTCTCTGCATCCCATCAACACCATCGCTGCAACCGCAGTTTCCCTCCGAGCCCCTCGGTATAGCCCCCAGCGCCCCCCCTCCACTCGGGCACCCCCACTTCCCTGGCCCTGGAACTACTTCTGTGAAAAGTCTGAGCCGCCCACATTTAGGCAAAGGAGGGCAGGATGGGGGAGGCTAGGAGAAATCGATGTGCCAGGTCCTTAACCTGTAATTGCACCTTCTAGGGTTGAGCAGAAAGGGACCCTCTGCCCACATCCCGCCCGCGCGCCCGCCAGCCGGGGACATCCGCCGCCGTCGCCCGGCTCCGAGGGATCCCGCCGGACCTGCGCCTTCCACTGCGGCTCACACTGCCCTGCCTGGCGCCAGTCCTGGATCGCCCGCTTCCTATTTACACCGGACTGGGCTCCTCTCCACTCACTTCACATCCCGTTCCAGGTGGACCCTAACCTCCCTCGAGCTCCCCCCCGCCCCCCACGGCAGCAACCCCCCCACACTCGCCCCCAAAGCGCTGGCTTTCCTGAAACATCTCCCAGAGTCTCTCTGTTTAAGTGGACCAGGTCATACCTCTCTCGCTCTCTCCGCTTCGTTGTCTCTTCCCCCCCTTACCCCACCCCCCATCCTTTCCTGTTACCCTTCCTTCTTGTTCTCCTTTGCCTTTCCCCCCCATCTGCTTATTTCCTGCCATAGTTTTAATCTTTATGAGCGTTTGCACACAACTGCCCCCCTCCCCAGGACTCCCTCCCCCATCCCTTCCCCCCACCAACAACCCAAAAGACAACAAAATACACACAAGGCAGACACAAGGCCAGAAACTTACCTGCTTTCAACCAGCTGCAAAGTCAAGGCTCACTTACGCTCCCCCCCAAAAATCAATTGTCCTTCCTTTTTAAAGGTTTGTTCTCTCCTTGGGAGGGGGAAAACACCTTCTGGTTCTCAACTCCAGGCAGTCACTCTTTACAATTTATTTTGTCGTACATCATTTGATCACCATGAATTAGCAACAGCAAGAAAATGTAGGAGAGGGAGAAAAAGAGAGAAAGAGAGAGGGAGAGAGAGGGAGAGAGAGAGAGGGAGCAGAGCTTTCTGCAAGAGAAGAAGAAGAAAAAATGTACGTGTGACAAATTATGCTACCAAGAAACAACACATCATTATCCTTGGGCCTGGGGCTCAGTGAGTCGTAACGAGAGTAATAGGAAATCCACGGTTGGGGAGAGAAACGGTCGTGCTTGGCCAGTAGAGAGAGACCGTACAGGGGGATGGATGCTGGAGAGACTCGCAAAATTATGGCTCAAGGCTATTGTAAAAATTGTCGAGCGTAAATGACTGCGATTTCAAACATCTTTGGAAGAAAGAAGGGGAAAAAGCGAGCCCCCCTCCCTCCCTCTCCCTCTCTCTCCCTCTCTCTTCTCTCTCTCTCTCTATAAAGAACCGTCAAGTTTTAGTGCGCATTGCTAATTAGTCAATTTCTCTCTGCCTTCACAGGCTGGCGACTTCGCTGCTGAGCTGAAACTGCTAATTTCTGTGACCAGCTTTTTTCTTAGCTGTGATCTGGATGAATGAGTAGCTGTCTCAGAGAGATGACAAAAATAAACTCTAATCCCCCCCAAAATTTCCACTACATCTTTCTCATGCATAGATTTATGATCTTCAAGCGCTCTGTGCAATATGCAAACTTTTTTTTGTGTCTGTATATATGCTGTTGTTTCCAGATTTCACTACATTGGTATGCTGCTTTTCCCTTCCAAGCCCCCCCCCCCCCGCCCCCGACTGTGAAATGCAGAAACCGTCTGAGTCAAAGTATGCCAAGATGCCACTTTACAGTGTCTTGGTGTTGGGGGTGGGGTCTGACTTGGAAGAAAGACACTAGCTGTTGTCTCTGAGGTGAGTGGCTGAGTGTACAGATGGGGGTGGGAAGCAGAACTGGTAGACAGAATAGATGAGAGCCCCTTGCCTTACATGTTTCCCTGCACTATTCAAGCTTCATGATCTTGTGGGAAAACATATTTTCTTTATCATTTTGTCTGGTTAAACAACCATCACTGTCAGTTCAACAGAAAAGGGTTCAGAAGTCACTTTTTTTTATTAGAAGATTATCATATTGTCAGATTTGTCTTTCAATTAGGACTTTTTGATTTGCAGGAGCTAGAATCAAGAGCTAAGCAACTCGGCTGCAATTTCATTGAAGTAACCCTTCAACTTTGTAGCTCATCTGATAAATAAGGACAACCACACAGAGCTCACATTTTTAACCCTGCTTACCATGCAAAACGAACCCCAGCAGGATTCCAGAATTTTAGCTGTACTAGAGATTCATGTGCATTTTGGTAGAGGACATGTTCCCTAGACTTACCTCATGATGTATTATACCCTTACATTTATAGCCCTGTATTTTGGTTGTCAATGGGGGTTAGAGTTGTCCAAGAAAGAAAGAAAAAAAGAAGAAGAAGCAGAAATAGGAAGGTATGCCCTTGAACAAGATGAACATGAAAGAAAGCTGGACATGAGTTAAATAGAGTTTTATTTGCTATTAAGTATGAGAACATGATTCATTCCAATTTATTTATGCTCTGATTAGTAAACTTACTGAAATTCACATCAGGGCACCACCAAAAGGCTGTCTTTTTACCTTCTTCTTTGATTTGTGAGAGATGGAAAGACACCTGCTTAAGGGAGGGGGAAACCTGAAATTCTTTGGTTCAGAAATAGGGACTTCCCCATTTAGAATGGTGAACATTAACATGCATATAGGATATTTTCTCTTAAATAAATGAAGAAGGATCTATCTGAAAATGTTCCCCTTACAAAGGCCCCTTTCCATCATGGTCCTAGATTATCTAAGGGTAAGACTTCTTTATTCAAATCTTCCTGAAATGCTACATTCTCATATTCATATTTATAATAGAAAGGCCCAAATACATGGTAAAATAGAGGGAAAAAAGATTTTTTGTTCTTTAAAGCAGAGGAAAGAGAGATTATCCAAGTCTTTGGGCCCTATTATTTGTTTTGATTCTTTTCCTTTTTTGCATTTCCCTTATTTAGGTCTTGAATAGGAAGATTGTGGGACTATTACATAGCACCTTTGGGGGGTTCTGTTTCATTAGAAATTAAAGATATCAGGTATAAGGAATGTCACCAAATTCTCATAAATGTAAAGTACAATTTGTATTGTGAGCTTTGATGTTGATCTTTTATGAGTTTGCAATGAAGTATTTACAACTAAATCCAAAAGCAAATAAGAGTATTGATCACTTAAATTGTTGCCATCTTTCCATTCTATAATAAAGCCATTTAAGTGTGTTCTGTAGACTTCAAAATATCTGTTTTGGATTTTTTTCTGATAGGATATATTGATCGCTAATGAGGACCACTAGGATCTTCGTTGCTTCCAAACAATATAAAAGCCACATTTCAAAAATTTTGACTACCTGTAATTTTAATGCTTATTTAACAACTAAGGTGGAAGAGGAAGAAAGGGGATTTGGGGTCATGCAATTCCAAAGCAGCTGCTAAAATGAAGGAGCTAGGTTGTTTTCATCTGGGCTTTAAAGTTATACTACTGGGGAATATTTGAAATTACAGAGAAAAAATTACAGTTAAAAATATTGATAATTAAAGACATTGTTTTATAATCTGTGCATAAACTACCATAGATATAATGTAAATCTCCCACCTCCAACTGATTTTGACTGGAATTATTGCAGAACTCACAAATGATATGACATTATTTACAATAAATCCTGTTATGAAAGATTCATTTTACAGCAATCAGATGCCAGCTACTAAGCCATAGTAGGTATCAGAATTTTATCCTACTTCACTGTTTAACG